ACATAATTTGAGTACTACCGGTGATAGTTCATCAGGGCCCGATGCTTTATTCAACTTAGTTTTCAGTAGCTGTTTCAGGACTGTGGCGGGTTCAATAGTTGGTGTTGGCATAGAGCTGACTAAGTCTGACAGGGCAGTGCACCGTGTAACTGGACTAAACTCAGAATTTAGTCTTTTAACGTCGACAGTTTTCTTTTTGTGTTTACGGCTACTGCCACACAATCGATTGATGACTCTCCACATGCCACGACAACTAGAGTTTCCCAGGATAGTGTCGATGTACAGTTTGTTCAACCGATTTATCTCAGCTTTGATCGAAATTTCTAGCCGCTTGACATGGATTCTTTTTCCTTGTTTATGGGCTTGTTCTTTCCGCCTGCGTAGCTGCTTGAGTAGCGGTGATGAGTATCTATCTTTATGGATAAAGACCGTTTCTAATGGACAACACTGGTTAAAACAGAAATTAAGGTAGTCCGTAACATGTTCACAGAGGACAGAAGGGTTTTGATCGGGAAACACCAAAAATTCAGTGGCGGCAATCATGGATCTTAGCCTCTCTTGGTTCTCTGATGAACAGTTTCTTTGACTCACTATCTTAAAAATATGTATCGGTTGGTTTTGTTGTATACAGTGGGACATACTTTTAAACTGCTCAGGGAAGTGCGTTTCTGGACTTTAAAAAATTGTGGTCTGTTTGTGAAAACGAAATCAAGCTGTGAATTCGGTTTGGTAAGAAAAAGTACTAAATTTTGTAGACCCAGTATGGTGAGGAATGTTACATCATGTCTGTTGAAATCACCGACAAATATACACAAAGAGTCACTTGTTTTTGATATTATGGAGGTAGAAAAAATGTCCGAAAAGCTATTTATGTCAGCAACTGATATTGTGGGTGACAGGTAAAGGTTTCCAAGACGTATCGAACGAAACCCACTCATAAAATGGGGCTTACACTAGATGACGTGGCAACGGATTTTATCCGTTGAGTATTCGTGGATGACGGCGGTGGATTTACTCCAGTTTTCGCTGATGTAACTTGCAACATCACCTCGTTTACGGACACTCGCGGGGCGGTCAATCCGATGCAAGTTATATCTATCCGCTTGTACAATTTCACTAGGGATTTCTTCATGTTGCCACGATTCCTGAAGCATAATAATTCCCAGGTTTTTGTACTCCTTTTTCTTTGTGATGTCTACTACCTCCTCAACTTTTCCCAACAGAGAACGAACATTGATTGTTAAAATGAGAGGAATTTGCATTTGACTGGTGCTGCACTTTCTGAGAGCGACTTGCCAACCTGCTCGATGCCGTTTTGTGTTTTGATCATCCGCTTGAATTCATTTCTCACATTGTTGGAATATTTCACAAAAGACGCAGTTCGCTCGATAACAACGATTTCATAAACGTGCTCGTGTAGGGTAGCATTTGGTGTCCTTGAAATTTATAACAATGCGATTTGATGACAACTAAATCCAAAAAAGTGTAAATATGATCTTCGAGATATCAGTGCTGGAACATTTCCCCCCACTAGTTTCTCTCCATCGAATGTAGCGGCGGTGTATACATGCAAGTTCGCCTACACCACATGAGCACATTTCTTGTTGGTTATGCTCAAAGCAATATCTGTTCAAAGTATTATTTCAGCCGATTGTGAAATTTTCGGTTAGTGTGGTTATAGTTTCTATTTCCTCACTGGTTCTTACATTCATACGCATGTTATCGTCGTACCATTTTTCTATTGTTTTTCTTACAGAATCCTGAAGCCACCTATGTGAAGGAGATGACATATCGTGCGTCCAATCTCCGTCGGCATGGCGAGGCCACCATCCCGGCTACCAATCTAAACAACACCTATCGTATTATCAAAGAAGTTTTAAAACGCTTCCGATCTCGCGAGGCCGAAGAACGTGAGCGAGCCAACTTGGTTGAGCAAGACCAGCTGGTGGTAGACCACCCGAAAGGCGCTTATCGTCTGAAGGACCTATTTATCCGTCCAAATATAGAATCAAAGCGTATTACAGGTGCGTCAGTATGTGAAACCTATCGTTTACCAGATCGGTGAAAATTCACCCCTATTTTGGCTTGACTCGACTTCGAGTATACGGTTCTGTTTCCGGCGGTCGACTCTTTTTGTACGAGCTCCACGCAACTATTTACTGCATCGTTTGGAGATACAGTTTCAGTCCTCATGGTCGTTGTACAAGGCGTCTTGTCGTGCCGCAAGAAACAGATTTACATTAGGCTCTACAACTCTCTCGGAATCGCCTACTTAGGCTTTGTTTTCTTTATTTTCCGTGAAGATGATGTATGAATACTGATTGTATAAACAGCTCCTCATTCGTGATGAAATAATCAAAGTCAGCTTTATTAATCGTAGCAATAATCAGTGTTTTTGTTTGCCACTGGCTCGAACAATCGCTAGGGTGCTCTTCGGATGCAGTTTTCTAAGCGGACATCCATTGGCAATTTTGTGATCTAATCCTATTTGCACCGCCGTCTCCGTATCAGAACGCACTTCATATCCCCCGACCACTGAGTATAGTCTTTGTTCTATCCTAACTGCACTACAGGAACCCTAGAGGCACATACAAATGGCTTCCGGTTTACCTCAATACGTGGGGACAAAGTGGACATACTGTACAACAACATCAAGCATGCATTCTACCAACCCTGTGATGGCGAGATGATCATACTGTTACACTTTCACCTGAAGGCAAGTCAGCAATGCGTTTTCTTTGCAACTAGAGGAATCTTTCATTTATGCACCATTAATAATATGAATTTTGTTCATGGTTGATCATTGGTAGAGTTTCAGTCTCAGTTTGAACAACCATTAACCACGCATATTCGTGCGCCGGTTTTGGTTGCTGTCTTTTGGCTGCCCATTTAGATGAAGAATAGGAGAAGAAGGGAAACTTGAAAGTGGAGTCGAACAGAAAATGGAGAAGTTCAGTGGTCTAAGGTTGCAAAGAGATTGAGAAGATGCACGAACGCCACTGGTTGCGACACCCAGCCATATTACTCAGTGTCTCTAACCATCGGTTACGATCATCCCGAGGTCCCCAGCCAGGGAGCCTAACAGGACCTATGTGAACTACTCTCCTGGTTAGAGTTTTCATACCCTCGTGCCAGGTCTTAACTTATACACCCTTGGCTTTTTTCCACTGGGTGTTTGCTTCGGTGAACATCGCTCGCATTGCTCATCCGGCTACCCCACCAGATTCGTGCAATGCTGTAGACAGCGGTGTTCAAACACCAACAGTCTATCTTTATCCTGTTTTCTTAATGGCCAAGTTTCTGCACCTTCTAGCAAAACTGACCGATCTGTCGTGGCATTGGTAGAGACTGACACAAAGCCGGTACCTTAAGGTGTTGTCGTAACTTGTGCACCCCTTTGACTCCGCGCGCTGCGCACGAGCTGTTTTTAAGTTGCAGAATTCCATATCTGTAAAAATTGGCATATCATCAGTTACTTCATGCGAATTACAAATGGACATTATATGTTCATGGGGTATGGTGACAAATGGATTCGAAGGCGAGATTCATACTTGGATGAATAAAGTGCACTCTTGACTTGACTTGACATGAATAAATGACTCAGGATATCCTTTTTCTAGAAAAACATTTCGTATTCTTCCTATTTTAAACTCGACAAAGTCCAAAGAGCAGACATACACTCACGAACATCAATTATCACAAGTTCATCATCTCCCCTTAAACTGATTTACCTCGCAGATATTTATCTCCCCCCATATATATATATATATATATATATATACTATATATCATGATAAGTAGTCTATGATTGACCAGATAAAATTTCCCTGGACACACACGACTGGCTTCGCAGTTCTTGCCATTCTTCAGACATGCGTATCGGGTAATCTGTTGTCAGTTCATTCATATACTTGTGCCCAGGAAGTATGTTTTCGTCACAATAACTGCCTTCAACTTTCTTGCCTTTCTCCTATTCATCCAAATGGGCAGCCAAAGGATAGCAACCAAAACCAGCGCGCGATGGTTAACGGTTGTACAAACTGAACTGAACAATAACCGGTTAGTAGCATCTAACTCACCTACAAAACATCGATTTATAATATTGACTCGTCAGTGGTCTGATTCCGAAGGAGCTGTTCAAACTAATTTTCTCGGTTTTGTAAATGAGGTAATTCTGACGAAGATACATTTCCTGGGTAGAAGTATATGAATGAAGTGACAAGAGAGTACCGGATAAGTATACCTGACGAGCGGCACTGAAAAATTAAGTAGATTCAATACTTCGTCGACCAGATTGGATTTCAGACCAGTCTGCAACCGATAGATGTATGACCCTGAGGGATATGGCAAAGAATCGATATCACTGCCGTTCTTGCAGTGATTTCTTGAGATCAAAAGGTATATACTCAGTCGATCATATGCTCAACAACAGCTTGCGTTTTCCAGTGATGCGTATCCATCTGGCTTCCCGACATGTCCCTCACTTTGTTCTATTCGCAATTCTGCAAAATCATATAGGGAATGTTATTCGGCAGTCATTTTAGCTCGGGTGGACGATACTTAACGAATCTCTCGCTTGTTTGTGCTGGACCGTGAATGGTCGGTACCCCACTGAAAGTGAATTATTACGCTTAGTGCTGAAAAAGGTCGATTTTCACCAGACAAGTAGGTTTCGCATAATCCTTTGTTTTTTAATAAACTCATCGCTCATTTTGCACAATGTTCAGTGATGTTTCCTTCCTACACCATTGACACGCGTATTGCAATGGCACTGGCTCATGAATTAACGATACAAACTGAACCGATAACCGGCTGTTTTCTAGTTCACGTCAACACGTTTTCGTTTTTGACTTTACTCCGAGCTGCATATCGTATAAACTGTAACTAACCTAGGTTCATGGTAATACTCGGTCGAAAGCGGATCCCGTTGTGGAGGAGTATCCGATAGCTCTAAAGAGTTGGGGATAGTCTGTTCGAAGTGAGATGCTATTTTCCCTAAGGAATACCTAGGTGTAGTGTGCTTACATCTAGTGAAGGCATCGGTCAATGTTTTCTTATACCTTTTTGTATTCTCATGTTCCTAGAATGCTATCATGTATGGGAAGAAAAAACAAGAAGACGTACAATTCTACACAGAGGTCGGCGAACTCACAACCGATTTGAGTAAAACGCATTCGCGACTACAAGATCGGGATGATCTGGAGGCCGAGCAACGTGAAAGAGAAATGCGTGAAGAAATCAAAGCAGCTTTCCGTTCGTTTGTGGATAAATCCGAAGCACTTGCCAGACGTTATGACCTTGAGTTTGAAACTCCATTCCGAGACCTGGGCTTTTACGGCTGTCCTCACAGGTACTCTAATCTACAACTGTTTCATGCAGTCGATTATCAACAATTGAATTCTTAAGGAAAGCAACTATAGGGGTAATTCTCTGTACAATAAATGAACACACAAGGAGTTGAGGCAAGCCACAAGTTTTCCCCATCCGGTACTCAGAGGCATGAAAAATAATGTGTGCATTTTCCCAACCGGCGGACAATTCAATTCCAGAGGAATGTTGCTGTATCACCGTAATTTTTTCATTCTCCACTTAAACAATTCGAACGGTATTTCGTGGACAAATGAAGCAGTCTGTGACTTGGCGTGACTACCTTAAACGTCAAGATCTACCATTGGCTATGTGAGCGGCGTAAAAAGTATGCGATAAGATGTAAAATTCTGACCTGTTAGATTGTCGTGTTCTCTGCTCTGCATCGTTCATCCCACTAATCTGTGGCCCCCAAAAACCAAAGCATTCATCAGCGATCGCGGCGGAAAACCGCTCAACAAGCGATGTGAATCAGTTCAGCTGCAACAGGCCCCAAAAACTCAGCGAGATGACGTACGACATGCGAAAACAGCTACTGTTTTGTTTGCTCAATAGATTCACTGTCTGATCCTACTGCCTTAAGCGGAATCTGTAACTAAACCCAGACCAGTCATGGACTAAACTAAAACTGTATTTTGCTTCCACCTACTTTCTATATTTAAGTAATCTGATGAAATATGCCGCCAGCGGCGCACATAATACGCTCCGGTCCAGCCATTTTTCGTATTGCACAAACGCTTGGTCAACGTCCATGTCAAGCCCACTGCTCTCTCTTACAGATATATTTGTAAATTCTCCACCTGCCTCTTCTTCATTCATAGATCGACTGTATTCCTCATGCCAACCAGTACTGCACTCATCAGTGTGACTGAACTGCCTCCTTTTGTTGTAACTTTGGAAGAGGTCGAATTCGTCATGCTGGAGCGTGTTAGCCTCTCGATTCGCACGTTTGATATGGTTTTTGTATTCAAAGATTATCACAGAAAACCTGCCATGGTCAATTCAATCCCTAGTACTGCATTGGAATTGGTGAAGGAATGGTTGCTGTAAGTTTCCGTTCTTTTGAAACCGAACTGTCATATCACATTTCACTGCTTCCACATTCGTCGGTTCATTTCATGATTCGGTTGTAATATAAACTGTATTCCAAAATAGATCATTGAACATACAGGACTAATCGTATTAAATTTGGACTAAAATACTCGGATCCTATCCGTTTGTTTTCATCAGATTTGTGGACAATATCGATTATTTGTGGTTCAGTTATACTGCCATACGGCTCATCATCACTCCCGTCGTTTTGACGCCCATGTGGGTTGCCACCCTGAGTTCTATGAGTGTGGTTCTCCGTTCTCACAAATGAACTGTATCTGATGCATGCACCCTCTTCTACCATTCATCATATCATGACTGTCGTCAGTAAGTTTTACCCCCACTCTAAGTCCGCTGTTCGGCGTATATTACTCGGAGTTTGACTAGCAGTACAAGCAAATCAGAAGCCACTAGGTTAAGCAATCAGTCGTAGGTCTCTTTCACTGGCCCACTCACAATATTCACAGATCAACCAATAGGCTACCTTAGCCAAAACATAAGGAAGTTTTGTTTTAGACGTGTGCTGTGTCCCGGAAACACAACGACCCGATTCTTTTTTCATTCTACGTCTTTCGCATCTAATCTCATCACGCATTACTCCATATGTCAGACGATTGGGCGTCTAGTATTCACAGCTATTGAAAACAGCTGCATTCTTTCCTGAGTAACTAGGAGTACGGGTTCACGGAAAGTGCATGAGGAGTCTGACTGTGCCACCGATCAGTTATCCGAAACCTCGTGTTGACTCGCAAAGCAAAACTGATCGAATGGTGACACAATATACACGACCTTTCATCCTGAGTGAAATAACGTCCATGCTTATCGCAGATTGTCTCACTAATTGGGGTTTTCCAACCTCCGGTGTTGCGTATCAGTTGGAGCAGTCTTCAGTTATTGATTGATGCAGCGGCCTCTTCCATTTCGCTAGTTATTTTTCCCCGCCAGTTCTTGAGGCTTTTAATGAGTTAGCGCCACCTACCGTTATTTTGATCATGACTCCGGTGGTATATTCGGTTGTCCTTGAACTATCGACCGTATGCTGTAGCCATCCATCTTGTTCTCCATTATAGTGCCGAGATTTGTCCGTTGCGATAAAATAAAGACACGTTAGTAGTTTCTTACCCATACTGGATACGTCGCATTGCATAAATTTGACTGGACAACCGAAAAAGCTATGTCGGAGTTAGGCACAGTGTTACATAATGGCATTAGCGCACTGGAATAAATAAATGTGATTGGTGACGATGTGAAGCATGTAAAATATGAGGCTTGCCAGGGCTGATAATTAATTTTCGTCGGTCCAAGGTGAACAAACCAAAACTTGTGCCAAATGCATGAAAACTTACCTCCAAGAGGACTCACACCAGGCTTCCTGGTTTGGAATCCCGTAACCAACCTAGACATTAAATAAAGGCATTGAGAGTAGTAATAAATGACAATCGTATAGGTACTCGCGTTCTGCGCAAATGTAGTTTTCTTGCTTAGGTTGCAAAGAGTTATTCGTTAGTGTTCACACCGAATTTCAAAACGAATTAGAATTGTTCACATGTATGTCTATAGTAAGATATCCTGTTTCCCGTTGCCTTACTCGCGGTAGGAGATTGATTTAAAAGACGTCGCATGAAACCTTACTGCACATGATGACCCCATCCTTTCAGACTGGTGTCCCATCAGACACGCATAGTTGTTCACCTGTGNCACCTGTGTAGGTCGTTATTTTGGTCTTGCACTGGTTACTTGCCCTTCAACCCTGAGGATATTCAGCGTTACCTGTATCCCTACTACGTCGATAATGGGGCAAAGAACGAGAGAGAGCGCGCGTTTTTATCCTACCATTGAAACGTTGGATCACCGATTCCCATAACCGAACAATAAATCAGTTTCTATGGGATTTACACCCCTTCTTCAGAGTTGCAGCCTCAGGTGCACGTAGAACAAAACATCCTCATGGGCGCATACTATACCTCACGGTCGATTTTGAACCCTACCACCCTCAAGAATGCGTTTACTCTCGGGATCATCGACCTGGTCGTATTTATGCACCTTTGTTTCGTTTACGACGCCATCGTCACCAGAATCGGATTTTCATAAAAAGCACTGCGTAACGCGTTTTGTTAAAACTGCTAGATGAGTCTATTTCTGTCCGGACATGTTCCAAATCTCGAGCCTGCAAGTGCTTTAAAAATCTATCCGGACAGTACTGGGCCATTTTATCACTGCACATTGCATAAGCTAGACTACACCTTTTCCCATCAAGCTTTAGCCACAACCAGCAATCATTTAGCCTCGACCCGTAATCCTTTAGCCAAAACCTTTAGCTTTAGCCTCAACGCACAAACTTAAGTCACGCTGCAGTAGACGAGTCAGATCAAAAAGTTTGGGAATTTTCTGAAATCAACGGATGTTGGAAAAAATTATTTTCTATAAATGTTGATGCTGGAAAGCTTGGTTAAGAAATAAGGTGGGGGAGGTTGTATGCTGCAACACATGTTGGTTGGTTCTCAAGTGTAACTCAAACGATACATTGTTTTGCATTCACGCTCTGAAATAAATCAAAAGGTATATGCTTACCGTTTCGTCTATCCACTTAAAGGGAATGCATTAAAAGATCGTGGATAATAAACTGCTCACAAAAGACCCCTTTAGAGGCTATGGGCAAAAACCGGTACTAATCAAGCCTCGACCGTGGTAATTATAACTTACGTTACATCGTTAATAAACTGATGATGATTATGAGGGTATACTTATACGAACGGTTTGTTATCGTCAGCAGGTTTTTGTATCCCCTTCTGATGAGCAGAGTTCACTTGTTAATGCAAAACAATGTATCGTTTGAGTTACACTTGAGAATTTTACTACTAGGAGTATCGCGTGTTATACAGAAACACTGAAGCTGTACGAGGTGTCAAATGCTTTGATGATACGGCCAGATCGTTTAAACCTCCAATCAGCATGTGTTGCGGCATGCAACCCACACACCTTAGTTCTTAACCAAGCTTCGCAGCATCAACATTTACAGAAAGTAATTTTTTCCAACATCCGTTGATTTCAGAAAATTCCCAAACTTTTTGATCTGACTCGTCTACTGCAGCGTGACTTAAGTTTGTGCGTTGAGGCTAAAGGATTACGGGTCGAGGCTAAAAGATTGTGGGTTTCGGCTAAAGCTTGATGGAAAAAAGTGTCCATATTGAGAGAAAATTTCACAGATAGTTGCTTATGGTAGTTTAGAAAATCTGTCTAAGAAGCCTTGAACTTGAAACCCGCTTGTACCTTCCCGAACCGGAGTTCTCCATTTTATTTTTTGTCCTCGATTTGAATTATAGGTCGTGCGACTTATTCTACGCAGAGGGAACAAAGTCGCTAAATTGGCCNAAATTGGCCCAAATTAATGAAAACCATTCTGGAAGATCCTGAAGGTTTCGTTGAACAAGGCGGTTGGTCGTTTATCTCACCAGAAGAAGTAAGTAATTTGCCGAAACCTTTTGTTGTATTTGGTATAGGCGATTTCCCTTCGACAATCTCCGTCAAGGTGTATGCAAACAGTGATGCCCTCGCCAGTTGACTTGTAATACAAATTACGTCGACCACTTACATGGACTTTTGGTGATATTTATACGTATTCGATACTATAAGAAGTTGAAAAAATCCCTGCCAGCACGACCAGTCTTCCACGGTGATTATCGCTCATCAGGTTGATGTATTCGATAATCTTTCGTCTAGTAATTGCTGTGCTTGAACTTCCAAGTGTATATTTTCTTCACAACTAATGTCTAATCCACAACGCGGGGCACGAGTATTCCAGCGGAGACTTACCTATAGCATTGGTTCCTTAAGACATCTTCAAACTAGATGACATTTAGTACAGCAGTCGTTAGAGCTTCTGATGATCTACTCGAACATATTGGGGTTTTCATGAAGCTGACTACGAGAATGTAAGATGATATTCCCAATTGGTTGTTATTTTACCCAACAAACAAGCCGAGTATTATTTTGAATTCATTACGATGGAAGATATGGGATGTATCCAAACTTTCGCGCGGTACCGATATCATTCTTGTGCTCTTTTCGTTCCGTCGGTTTGTCTGGCGCATATTTGTGTTGTCAACCTGTCGTGAGGCTCATCGTCACTCACGCGAGCACAAGGTGCTACAAAGTACAACCACCACCACGAAGCATTCACATTGAATCTAACACAGCTTAGCACGACAGTAGGCACCGAAAGCAATAATGAATCAGGATACATCGGACATTGTTCAACACCCCACAAAGCGAGAGAACACTGACGGATACGGGGTGGGTCCGGGCACCAGGAATCACGTACCTCAGTAGCCACGACACTGATCTAGTCCACAAATCCAGTTCACAGCATAGGATCGCTCACCATCTGTTGTAATAACCTCCGCCCAGCTACGAAAGTCATCATCGCCATCATTGTACAGCGTTATACAGTGAGGCGAACTTCACTGATCGCTGCCAAACTCATATTGCATACAAGGTAAATGATAATGTGTGAGGAGGACAGGGATTGGGCCTATTCTTAGTGACGGGAAAAGAAAGTGAATCTATGTGGTCAACACACGAAAGTGCGACATTGACGGCAAGCAATGAAACCGATTTGGCACGCAAATGAAGTTGGAGAAAATTCACTAAATTCTCGAGCCAGCGTCTATCAAATAGGGTTGAACAGAGAGGTTCAAAATAACGCGAAAAACTTCGACTGTAAATAAATGAGATTGCAAAATACTGAAAAAATAACCAGTTTTTGACAAAATACCCTTTATATCTGGCACAACCTCACAGTCACCACACCATCCAACAGTGCTAATAGAATATTCAATGCAGAGGGGAATTTGTAGAACTATGCAGATCGTTCGAGCTTGTCATTTTACGTTTATAGTCATACAGTGTCGTTAGTCGTTACCTCAATGTTTATAATAATGGGTCTGTCTCTCTGTGCTTGACTCAGGATGACGATGACGATGATGACGACAGTGAGGAGGAGGACGAGAACTACGCTCCCTCCGATGGGGATCTTTCTGGTGATGGTGATGATGACGATGGCAGTGGCGAAGACCAGTCAAGTGATGACGAAGACTGGGAGGCAGAAGAAGATACCGATGAACCAGAAAGTCTCGACTCTGATGAGTCTGAAGGAAAAGATTGGGACGAACTTTTGGAGCAGGCCAGAAGAGGTACGAGTCTGTTATTTTTTGCTTGATGGTCAGGAGCTATACAGTAATCTCTATGGCTTGCGACCGGTTGGTCGCGCTTTCCGCGGCGTTTACGCAGCGCACGATTAGTCTTAACACGTCACAATCTCACACGTCCACCAATTACGACCGTGTGTTATCCAAAGCATCCCCTCACGCCTTAAGCATTGACTCAACTGTTAATTCACTCAGTCAGCCACTTTGCATACACCTGTCACTTGCCAGGTTTTTGGATCATCAATCTAACACCTTACTTGGTGGATGTGAGTAACTAAAGTGCGGTAGGGAGTAATGCGCAGCTGCGTGGCAACGAGTTATTGAACTTACTCTACGGTCAATGGATTTATTTGCTTCAACCAAAATTGATCGACCCGTGACACATTTAAATAGACAATGAGTGATCTACTTCGATTGTTATAACGATTAGTCTCTACTCATTGACGTTCTTGTCCATCTTTTTGTAGAGGATGCAAACAACCAGTTCCTGAACGAAGAGGAAGAGGAACGGACTCGAAAACGACCGCATCCTCCTAGCAAGTCCTCCAAGAGTTCCGCGCCAAAGAAAAGCAAACATCATCGCTAATGCACAGTTTATGTCTAATTTTTTTTTGTGAAGATATATATATATATAAATACATATACATATACATATTTCGTACACGTGTGTTCAAACCGTGTGCCAAACAAATTATATTGCAGAAATCTTTATTAACAAGGAAGTCAGTCCCTGGTTTGCCTGTGGGCAGAGTACTGCCAGTTCTCCAAAGCCAAAACGGATGTATTTTCTGTAGGAAATTTATAACCAAAGCCTTTGGCTAGCTAAAGTCTGACTCACAAGGCGGTTGTGTGAAACCGGCAATCTAATGTGATTGGTGACCACTGCCAAAACTGACAAGATGTGTGCGTGGTTCATACGCTTCCCGGTTGACCTAGAATTAGGTTTCTCGGCCAACTCCTCTTGGTCAATAACCAGTAGTTCACCCACCCGGTTACAGCCATGGATGTTAGCTTGTCGTTCTCATTTCATTGGAAAACTACATGTGAAGGCAACGAGTAGCACGTGCTTAGAAGACTCTTAGAGGCACTCATACAGTTGCATTTCGCGACAATCATTTTGCAGAAAGCTTGATCAACAAACAATACAATCCGTATTAGTGTCAAAAGTAAAGTAAAAAAAAAGCAAAGCTTAGAGACTACTCAGATTCAGCGGATTTTTTGTTTTTACTTGACATGGTCTACCGAGAAATGATTTGCGATCTTCATGGCAATAATAGTATTGAAGCCGCCTAAAGATTTACGTAGAAATGAACTATCGCTTCGCTGGGACAAATGCCGTGAGTGTTCGTCAGACAGTTTCGAAAGTCTGCAGTGTTTTAATCATGCAAGGTGAGCCCTCAAAACAGTATTTAGAATCCAAACCGATCGTCCGGTCGTTCCGATATGGAAGAGTGAGCTTTAGTTTTCTGATGTTAATCCTATACATTCTCTGTCTTCCGTGTTAGTTGGCTTTCAACATTCCAATTTTTATCCTTTATCCGAATGGGCAACCAAAATTGGCGCACGAGAGTCTATGGTTAATGGTTGTAAAATCGGGACTGATGTTGATCCTAAGCGATAGAACGGGAACATAGCATCCCACAGGACTCATTCACAAGTCGGGCAAAATGACTTCTTTCAGTCTTGCGTTGGTAAGTGCCTCTTGTATGTATTCCTTCCACAACTTTACACCTTTATTCTCTGTCTGGATTTCAGTTAACAACAAAGACGATGTAAAACTGAAGCAGGCCATTTAAAATCGCGTGATTCATCCGAACTCGTCCTTGACCATTCAACCATTAATTGCAGGTGATCAGAATAATGCGCGGTGTTCTGCGTCGGCAAGTTCTTCCATGACAAGGAATTCGCCTCGGTCGAGTCCAGACTATGTCGGCTAAAGTTGTTATGTCCTTAAAATGATCCAAAATGGGGTTTTGAGATGCCTTACATGCAAAAAATGAAACGGCCACGACACTTTTCAGTCAAAACCGATTTTACTGTCCCATAGTTTCAATCCTTTCCTTCGCTCCATCTCTGTTTCCCAATAAAAGCACATTCCTGTACTGCTAAAATGTTCCAGACTTGGTTATTTTTGATGCCCACTCCAGCCTATTTTGTACGATGAACATATACCTCAGATCAGTTAAATAGGATTTTCATGTCAGGTTTCGACCAACTTAATGATGGGTTTTTTTCAGTAAGTATTTCGCCCTAGCTTTGGTTCACCGCACCCGGGTCGATGATCGAAGTAACCGGTGCTTCAGTTAAACCTTAACTTGATCTGCCGGTAGTGTAGTATTTTGAATACACTTCCATGTTGAACGCAGGTTTTCAGGCAGTTGTGCCACGAATTTACACTGAACTCACAGCAAAAAGGTTGAATTTTGTCACTCATATGGGCCGTAGGCGGTTTCGAGGATGTGCCAATCCAAACACTGCGTGGAATGTCTGAACGTGGTATTTGCTGCATCGCGCACCGAAATGTTGGCAGTTTCCAGACGTGAAGGTTGACTGTTGCAGCTGCAAATCTAACGGATTTCTTAGATGCAACAACTCACGTGGAGTTGAGTTATGAGGAACTGTAGAGAGTGATTCGTTATGGTATCCCGTTTCTGTTCCTCCCTAATGAAGGACATATGGGAGTGACCCGTATTTATATATTGTACTTTCACACTCCCGAATTCAGACTGGGTACCAAACAAAACATAGTACAATAATCCATATCAAAAAAACAAAGGTTCATGATTTTCTCGAGGGCATGATGTGGCTAGGTTACCCAGGCCAGAGAAGGTGAACTTGGGGAAATCACACCCAGAGCCAGACAGCTTGACCCGCGAAGCAGCGGGGCGGTGTGAAAACCGCAACCCATTGGGGGCCGGTGTCCAGTCCATCGGGTGATACGGCTTTTGCATGGGTTGCCCAATACACTTCGATACCCTATCGAGCCGGTGATCACTACCATGACCGGGAAGGTGTGTGCGCGTTTCATACGCCTTTTAGAACAGAGGCGTCTGCGAAATCAGTTCTCATCAGGCCAGATCGCTCGAAGTTGCGTGTTCACACAGCTACACTACCATTTTAGGAAAGCTTTGAGAAACTAACTTTCATTTGCGAAACCGTCAGTTGGAATTGAGAAACCATCACTGAGACTTGAGAAAGAAATGCTGTGGTTGGATCCGCTTCCGTTCAGCGCACCTCATTGGTCAATTAATCATACATTTTTTCTACCCCCGGATCGACCACCTGTCTTCCCACGCTTTTTCTGTGCTGAAATGAGGCCGACCTCAGTCGTGCATCTTGTCGAGCTCTGTGACGGACGTCGAGTCGGTGTTTCGGTGAAGCCAGGCTTGTGACAACCAAGTGGGACACCACTCGATACGCACGAAGGGTGACGCACTGTGTCGTGCCCACTACAGCTCTGCCATTGACTCAATAATAAAAGCTGAAAATCTTATTCGAATAGTCCCCGAAGGAAGGGTGGGGAATTTATGAGAGCGACTAGGTAAAACTGAGAAGCAAAGCGGTCACTTTCTTTGTGAGAAAATAACAGTGCAATGAACACAACACTTCAAACGAGCGCAACTTAATTCTGGAATCATTTCGCTGCATCTCAGCTGTTGCTTACTGCAGAATATAAAACAGTTTATACATCGCAGATGTTGATCATCTTGATAGTCTTTCCCTCGTACTTTCTTCCTTTCCAATCTCCTGGAAACGCCGTGATTTTCTATTTAGTTTTAGTTTTAAATACTTTCGAAAGTACAGAGGTGAGGGAAATGGGTGACTTTTCCTAGTTCCGGTATGAGGTATAAAAGGGTTGGCGGCAAAGAATAAAGAAAATGGAGGTGGTAATTACATTAATGACCACTGTGGGCACTAGTAATAAACTCATTAAGCTTCCGACAGAAGTGTAAGATAAGTCGACGGAAATGAACATCAGCATTTCTTATATTTGATTTGTTG